AAAAGCTTTTATGTTTCTGTTTTTATATGATTTTAGCATGGTTTGAATTATTTTAATGGGATAAGTTTTTGCTCATAGAAAGATTTGCCAATTGCTTTACAGAAATGAACCTGTAACCTTGGTGAGCAGCCTGCATTGCTGTTGGATTTTTCAAATTTGACAATTATCCTACGTAAATGTACACATCTTTAATCTACATGATAGAGCTGCATCATAAGTCGTAGGCTTAAGTTCAGTATGGATGAGAGAACAAGACTCAGGAATCAGGCTTGCTGGTCGCATACATCAAGAAGATTCTGATAGTGAAAGGTTCTCAGGATTGAGCCATGTGTTGTGGGTTCAATCTGGAAGTCATGGGTCATCCTTAGATCCAGACCTTCTGGCAAAAGTGAGGCTGTCTCACTCTCAGCATGAAGATGGACGACTTTCTCAGTGAAGGCAACTGCTCATTAGAAGCTGTGTCTCAGGGCGCCTGATGATTAAAAGGTCTATTTAGCTCCGGTTTTGGTTTCTGCCAACTCCTGACATACATTTCTGGTTTCTGCACATCAAATCAATTTAAAATGTTTGGACTCACTAGTCTACCTGTGTCTGTCTGTCTGGCATTAGGGGATGAGCAGATAGTGTTCAGCAGTTTCAGCTGAAAAGTGCACCATGAGGAAGGTGAGCGTGAACTAAAATGGTAAAATTGCAGGTTGGACAGCGATAACGAGTTGAGCTCGGACCTTCAGAATTAGGTGATAAGTCTCAGTTTATCAATACGAGACATCAAATTTCACATTGTTGCCACTGTGGCCAAGACAAAGACCGATGGGTGCTCATTACAACATCGATGTGAAATCTGCTCCTTCATATTGGATTCATTTGGTGTTGACAAATGAAACAATCTTCCTCTCACGCATCTTTTGTGCAACCCAAACATTATGTAATGTCTTGGCATTCATCAACATACAGAAATAAGGCTATGTGTCTGGGATAACTGGCCTCATTATTATTGACAGTGACGCTGTTGTGCACACATTCAATGAAAATTAACATAAAGCGCTAATCAAAGACATTTGGGATTGGAAGTGCATAAAAGCATATTTATCCAACATACACTTCTAGAGAGAAAGAGTTTCATCCATGTAGCAGTAGAGTAAATAAAACTCTTGGCAAAAACGTTCAATAAATTGTCTGTTTCGAACATAGAGAAGATAATTTATTAGGCTCCATTTATGTCGCTCTGGCAATTATTCCTGGCATTCTGTCAGAGCATGACTGATTATGTAACTTTGAGTCTGTTTCTCTTTATGACGCATACCACAAAGACGGAAAAAATTAAGTCACTGCACTCTACAGATTTTTATCAACTGCATAAAATGTTGAATGACCTTGATTAGTTTTAGGAGTAGCTCATATGATATCAGACTTGATAACAGTGCCGCAAACATTCAGTTGTGCATCATTCAGTTCTCAGGAGAGCAAAGTTGAGCTGACAGTTTGTGGAAGTGGTGAAGTGCGATGAAGGACAATAAGATTGTAAACACATTTCTTTGAACTCAGTGACTCCTCTGGTCACAGAAGACATCTGTTGAAATGTATGGCGTGTAGTGGAAAGACAGTATATCACTGTTGATCTGCGAGTGGAATGGGAGTAAAACCACAGGCTGGAAAGTGAGTTTTTGAAGGTGAAGTTTTTGGAGTCTGATACCCCGTCCACAAAACCTAGTTTATTATTTTGAGATTATCATGAAACCTTTGCAAAACATAAAACGACTGATACGTTACAGGTAGTACTAATGGGACAAAGCTGCTTATTTGGCTCGGTCAATACAGAACCTTTCTACTCAGCGATGTGTAGATTCATATCAGCACGCTGCTGTTAACAATAAACAAGTCAACAGAAAATCTGTGGGTCTAAAATTATCCCAAGGCAAAGCCAAAATTCTTGCTTCATGAGACATGCTTGCTTAAGTAAACACTGAGTGTCTCGTGTTGATGAGCTGGGATCAAATAGGTTAAAACTCCTGCAGATGCGTCCTCGCCATTTGGTGTTACAAAACAGTCAAAACAGTGTTATAATCACATAATTAATTTGTTATCACTGCACTTACGGTAAAGACACACTTTTCTGAACTAAGTGCTACTCTGCTTGGGTACAAAATGTTCACCTGATGAATGCCCTTTGCCATATGGAGAGGTAAACTTGTTTTTTTTTAATAAGTCATTTCCAAGTCTATACATGATGCCACTGCAGTTAAAACTCAACAGAGAATAAGCATGCAGCCACCGTGCCAGAAACATGTCAGCACTCAGGAGTCAGTGGTGCGTCCACATGATGAGTCACTTTTGTACAGCTGCATCCATGGCAATACACACGTTACTGGACAAGAGCGTTCTCCAGGTATGCTCAGATGATTGATGTGGGCCAATTAAAAACAGATGATGTGTTCCCTGAATCCATATCTGCAGGTCAGATAAGGTATCCTACACCCACAGCATTGCACTACTTACTGGCATGCTGACTACGCTGTCCTCAATGCAAATGTTCCTACATTTGGGAGTTTGATAGGGTATTTAAATCATTACTTTGAGGTCAGCTAAGTTAAATATGACAATAAAAACTGTTAAAAACTGACTGAAGTTTTTAAATTCTGAACTGATGCAGAAGGGAGAAAAAAAAAGTTGTTTTCTTTTATTTATAAGGACAACACACATTAATCAACATTTCTGTAAATGTGCCAGCTGGCTTATTTCCAACTGCAGTCTTTTGGCAAAATGTTGTGAGAACCATTAGAGTGTGGTTCACCCCAGTTCCCTTCCTAATAAACTGTCAGGTATTTAATGGATTAGCGAACATTCTTTGATATTCTGTCTGGCCTTTAGTCAGTCTGAAACAAACACCCACTAATTATCTAGCAGCAACAACACGTGTTTAGTACAAAGGCTGAAGTCTGAAACACCTCCAAAGGGCTGATTTATCTGAAGCATATATAAGTCCTATCATTTGTACATTATTTGTCCACTAAATTGTGAACAGCAAGAACATGATCGATCACTGAAAGCTTATTCAACGCACTACCGAGACTATGCTGCCTGCACGGTTTCACTTTTGGGTCAGAAGACAGCTGCCGGCTGGTGATGAGAATTGGAAACTGTCACGCCAAGTCGAGTGAAATCTGAGTCTGTTGTTGGTGATATCAACAGTCTCATAAATGCCTTAATAATTGATTGTTAGATCACTGCAGAGAAGAGCATGGAAAAATCCCAAACCGAATGGAAAAGCGATATGATCCTACAGCAGATGTTTTCTCAATTCTCAGAAAATGTTGTAAATGTATAAAATATTGCCTGCGTGCACCTGAGTGCAGAACGTATTCGCTCTCTTAAGAATTGCATGTTACTGTAGAAGTTCCCTTAAATAGTTACTTAATCTCTGCTGGTGCATGTTGCTTCTCAGTCACTGAAACAGTCTGAGTGTATAATAGCTGCACAGGGACTCTAGTAGAGGGTAGCGTATTTTAAAAACACCAGCATACAAAGGATAAATGATTTATTTTTACGCCTTAATTCCCAGCAAACATCCAGCATTACAAACTGACATCTCAAAACGAATGTCTTTATAATGCCCAACAGCACGCAGCTGAGAATATTTTACTGTAAATTAGAGCCATCAAATGACAACATGACCTTAATCACATGGGACAAAACACTAAATCATTTTGGAAAGAACACAGAGTTATTTAACATCGAATGGAGGTATGGCACCTCTTCTTTCCTCACCACGCTGAAACACGTAGCTAGACATGCATGCTATCAGCGTCACATATCCTGCGTATTGTCATGTCAAGCATTCAGTATTGAAGCCTGTCAGCGCTACATGTTTTAATCATAGATGTGCAAGGTAAGCACTTTGGAATGTTTTGAGAGTATATTACTGTCAAAACAGCCACAGACTGCAGATGTGAACATGTTTATGCCACGAGGTACAAGATTTTAGGTCTATCATCTATTTTTTGTCACACACAACCGCTTGGTCCTGCTCGACTGAAACTACTAAAATAATGTTTTTTTTGTGCTTCCTTAACTGGCAGACAAGTTGTTTTTTTTATTTTTTTTCAAAAACCACTGACTGGATTACCAAACACAATGCTTTGCTTAAGATGTCATCGAAGTATTTTTAAACCAAGCGGCATGTAAATGGCAACGCTTAGTAGGTTGACTTCACCACGTCAAGCAAAACCAGCTGCCAGGCTGAGTAAAGCTTGTTGTTGTGTCCTGTGAATTAAAAAAAAAAAAAAACCCAGCAAAATAACAGATGACCAAAGAAACTGCTTTTTACATCTCGCTATCTTCATGTTTTGTATGTCGCAAGAGGTTTTCTTTGTATCTTGGCAGCTACTCTGGTTTTTATCCACTTTAGTCTGTCCAAGAAGCCATAAACTGCCCTGAAGTATTTTGCACTTGGGCCAAATAACACAGGAGCTGGGTCTGACTCAAATCTCTGCACACAACAGCTCACATAAGGTCCTTGTAACCTCAGGGTAAACATTTCAATTGGCGGCGTTGTTACAGGAACTAGTTTACGCATGATTTACACCTTCTTGACATACAGCAATGAATTCATTTCTGTTTAATTTGGTAAAAACATTTGGAAATCAGTGAATATTGCAGCTGCTAAAGTTAAAATAAATTGTATTTTTATGCAAGTTTCATACACTTTATCATATGGTTGCATTCTTATGTTGTGAAATGGAAGAATTTTTTTTTTCTCTTTGCAATTCTTCATCTTTGATGTTTCAAAAAAAGGACTGCCTCTTAAACCTACAGATGAATTGCTAGGCCACTGAAAATGATGACTCAGAAACCTTAGCGATTAATTTAAATGCCTTGTACTTGAAAATACAAAGTGCAGATTTGATATTTTAGCCTGTCTTTTATGAAGCAACGTTTTCTACGAGGACATAGAAATGATACCAAACCACGATCTCCTCAGACACCCGTTTCCAACTCACGTATGTATCTTAACAAAAGCACTTTATTGGAAGATGTTTGAAAAATAGAAAGAAAAAAATACCTGCATTTGGCTACATCATTCCAAATGATACAAGCAAAGACAAAAATTTATAGAAAACCTTAAACAACTTACAGCCAAAGAAGTCAAAAATAATACAACAGTTACAGTCAGAAAACACTTTTTTTTTTTCACTCTTTATCATGCTGAGATGTAGAAATCTTTCCAAACAGCTTGTAAAATCTCTATGATTTAACCTTCGCTTCTAGCAAAGGCCTAGAGATGTTTAAAATTGCAAAGTTTTTATTGCTATTCTAATGGCTTGCATTGAGAAGGTTTTATTGCTGCCCTGACATGCTGTGTATTTAAAGTCAAGCCAAAAATGTTCATTTGAGCTGTTTACACATACTGCACCTGAAGACTCAATATACAGTATACACATTCAAAGCACCATTAAATTGTTTATGAGCATAGTTTTATTTTTGTCAGTTATACCTTTTACAGTATATTTGAAATCACTGACATTTTAAGTGTATTCCCTGTTTTCAAACACCTGGTTTAACCTCTGGGTTTGGTGTCTCTCTCTCTGCCTTTATAAGGACGATATTGTCATCTGTCCATGCTCAGTCTCTTCCCCGTCTCCTGCCGCCAGCTGACAAAAAAAAAGATAGAACACATTTTAGTCATATGGAAAAGAATAAAATCCAAATGTAGAACATGGACTGTGTTGAGGTTTGGCATCTATGCTTTGATCTCATCGCTTCCCTCGTGAAAACACCAAGCTTAGCATAGCAAGGAGTGGGAGGGAAGATGGTGACCTTCCCCACTGGGGAGCGTATAAACATAGAGCCTCCACGGAGATGCTGGAGTGGAGGTAGGCCTCATGAAATGTCATAAGAACAGCAGCTGCAGCGATATTAGCATCAATTGACAGCATAGCTTTTAGGTGAGCATTGTGGCAGCAAAGCATGGCAGCAAATGAATGAGCAGCCCACAGCTGGCATAAAGGAACAGGCTGACATTTTGAGAAATATTTTCTTGCCAAGAGTTAAACAAGAAGACTGATACCATTCCTGTGTCTGAATGGAAACGATGAAGCTACAGTGAGCAGCAGGCTGGCTGACTTAACTTAGCACAAAGACTGGAAACAGAGGGTAACAGCTATCCTGCTTTGGTCCAATAGAAATAAAACTCACCTACTAATACCTCCAGAGTTTATGAATTCTTGTTTATTTAATCTGTACAAATCTCTACTGTATAAACAACACATAGTGGTTTTACAGGGGGTTGTGTGGAGGATTATTTCTTGGCCAGACTCTTTGGAGATCCTTGCCATCACATTGAGGTTGCCAGGCAACCACTGCGGCTCCAGGAAGTTACTGACCGAGAAATATTCCAGCACATAACCCCAGTAAAACATTTTGTCTGTGATGACACAAACAAGATATAATGTGTTAATTTGTGAGCTTCAGATGTGCCAGTGGGGAGATTTTGGTATCTTTAGACGTAAGCAGGTTGTTCCGTCTTTCTAGATTTTGTGCAAAGTTAAGCTGCTGGCTTTCACTTCATATTTACCATGAATAAATGAAAGTGCTGTCAACCATCTCATCTAACTCTTGGTAAGAAAGTGAGTAGGATAACCAAATTTCTCAAAAAGCCAAACTATTGCTTTAGGTACACACCCCATGACTGTAGTGGCATGTTGGACACACGACAAAGGGAGACGAGTATGCCATATAAACACAGCAGCAGACTCAAATTGACTAGCTCACACTGTGCTGCATTTATTAAAAATGCAGGATTGCAATTTAGGCTAGCTGATTTCTCTTTCCTCTTTTTTTTTTTCATTTTACCTGACACCCGTCGGGAAGGAGTTCCTCTATTATTGCCTTCTATAATGGCAAACAAACATACAGGTCAAACATTATTGATGAACTGTTTTCCCAGTTACTCAGACTGTGAAATGATAAAACTCACTTTGGATGAATTTGGTAAGTCTTTCACTGTCAAAATTTGCATTCCCTTCAATGGTGGTAATTTCCGAAAGGTCAACTCCTGCTGAGAAAAGAAAATATTTTTAAAATCAAAGTGGAACATTTTGTAAATAGACGCTGGTGACTTTTACCTTCATAGACATCAGTGATGACACATTGCACAGATTGTACCAAAACAGCCATGATTACATAAGATAAGATTTACATAATATTTAAGTTTTGTTTATATATATAAATAGTCACTCATAAGTAATTACTATATTACATTTAAGAAATATATTTTTAACTTATAGGTGATTTTTTAAAGAACATTATAAAGGAGATGGGGGGGAGATGAGAATAACAAAATTCAGACAACCAATGAACACACACACAAGGACAATAATACCCTCTGTTTAAAATAACAACAATTATTTTGAAATCTGTATTTTCAAATGTGTATTAGTTTTACCGACCTTCCAGCGCCACGTTGCTGGTGCCAGTGCTGACTGAGTATTGAGGGCCTGGAAACAGAAGCATTCATGAATTCTGGAGAAGACAGACGATATGAAGCCACATACACATTGATTTAAGCAAAAAACAACTTACCTGTGACAACCCTGGTAACCTTGGTGACAGATGGTTGACCTTCAATGACCCTGGTAACCTTGGTGACAGAGGGTTTACTTTCAATGACCCTTGTAACCTTGGTGATGGAGGACTCCCCTGGGATAACCCTTGTCACTTTGGTTACATCAGGAACTGTAAAAGCAAAGAAGATGTGTTTCTCCACATTGAAATGACAGAATCACAGCACTCTCCTTTGATAAAGGCAACTTTCCACCTGTATGCGACTATTATAGCAAATGGACCATTCATCGGATCCGAAATGTTGCTTTCACAAAAATGTGATTCATAATCAAATTGTGTTTATATATAATACCATTATTGCACAGCTGATACAGTTGCATAAATTGTGCTATTTAAAAAAAAAAAAAACAATTGTGTTTAAGAATATCATATTAAATATCAAAATAACAACTTCATTATATTTTGCTGACTGCTACAGAAATTATCCAGTGGCTCACTATTATTTGTTTTGTCAACGTTGCACATAAAACTGTTTCATTATTATCTATGATCTGTCAGATTTTACTGATTAGGAATCACATGATGATGATATTCTAATCATCATTACTGTACCTTCCTGGACGACACGAGTGACGATCGTCTCTGATGACAACAGGAGATATAAAACCATTAATGACAGTGAAGCATGCCTCTTAGAAGATTCAACATACAGAAGTGCAAAGAACCAAATAAAACATGTGCAGAATGATAGCATCATAGTATCACTACTTACTCATGAATGTAAGAGGGATTTCCTGATATCTGAATCCTGCAATGTACTGTAAAAATGACCAAAAAAAAACACATTATAGCAGATAACACATTGTAAAATGGTGTCCAGTGCAACAGTATGCTGCATATTAAAACCTAAAAGCAGCATGACACATCTGTTAACCTCGAGCTTAAATCTCTGCACAGATGATTTTCAAGTGGGTTCTTGTCCTACTTGTACTATTAGTTTAAAAAAAAAAAGATTTTGGCAGTCACAGAGGGAATAAATAACTGCATGCAGTAAACCCAACCCTATTCTTTAGAAGCCTCGCAGCTCTAATAATAACAACTCAGTTTTTAATATGACACCTTGATTTGCATGTAAGAGATGAGCCTCTTGAATAGCATGAGGAGATCCTGGCTTCCAACTGGGATATCTGGAAGAAAGCGTAGGGAGTTAACCACAATTAGGCTTTTACAATGATTACAAAAACAATACATAAAATGCATGTCTTGACAGATTTATAAAGGGAGAATACAGCAGAGTTTACTGGATGACATTTTTACCTCCGGGATACAAAACTTGGTTGATAAAGTGGATGACTCCATTTGTGGCCATGATATCAGACTCAGGGACTCGGACAGAATTCACTTGCACAGAGTTGTTTGCCTGAGGTGAGAAAACAATTACAGAAAAAAAAAACATTAAAAAAAAAAGAAACCAAAACATGAAATTAGGGACATGAATGAACCAGTATTCTAAAATATGGGGAATGAACATTGATTTACAGTAAATGTTAGTATCTTGCAGAATTTCAGAACTATATATATATTTATTTATTTGTGCATATATATGCACTAAATACCTACAAACAGCACTCTGAGGTTGCTGCCCTGGAGAGACTTCAGGAGGTTTGTCACTCCTGCCTCCAAACCGCCACCAATGAAGATACCGTTATTGATGTGATACAGAAGGATCGTTCTGAGAGCATTGATGTCACCTGAAATCCAGAGTGGCAAACATATAAACTATCAGTTTATTGAGCATGATTCTGAACCAGCAACACACATGTTTGAAACACATTTAAAGCAGAAGGGAGTCTGGTAGACCTACTCTTCAGCAAGTTCAAATCACTGCTGCTCAAACCAGCAAAAGCCTTATCGCTTGGGGCAAACAGAGTAAAGTCTCCCTCCTGTCGGAGTACGTCAGTCAAGCCGGCGGCTTCCATCAGAGACAAAAAGATCCTGAATCACAGAGAAGAAAACAGTAACTTGGCTGTTATAGAAACCACTGAGGGCTGACATACTGCAACAACAGCACTTTCTCATTCCCATATGTACCATGTGGATTTAATGGAAAGACACAGAAAGATGTGGTTTGAGTATTATGCTAGACCACAGTCCATTTTCATTAACATGGTTCTGGACTTACTTGAACCCTCCATTTTCTGTCAGAATCTGGAACATAGTTTTTTCTGCAGGTTTCAACATGGTCCTCATGAGATGAAGGGCCCCATTGCTTCCTTCTTTACTGCCTCTGATCAGGCAGGCGTTCTCAATGCACACAGCCTGCAGATATAACACACGAGTTAAAGGCAAATGGTTTCATGTAATGCCTCAAAGATATAAAGATTAATGGCTAAATTACAGGGGTAGTGCATATAATGTGTGTTTAGTGGCATCCAGCCACATTTTTAGGGCACAACTCCAGAGAGGCGGACATACTGTGCGGTAGATGAAGACCCTAAGAATTTTTCCTCCGATGGTCTCTAGCCGCTGGCCATTGTACAGTTGTCCCAGAACAATCTTATTCTTCAAGACATGGTTCTCCAGGATAATCTTAAGCAACCTCTGATCCATGGACATTACTTCATCTGCAGAGGAAAGAAAAGGTTTTATATTTCTCATTTAAAATGAAACACACTGGAAACTATGTACATTTGCATCTAATGCACTGGCTTTGGTAACAGAAACTGCATTAATATTGTTGTTATCATAGCAAGTCCCAAGAGGAGTAGTTGCAATATTCTGAACAAAGAAAGGCATATCTGCTATCATTGACTTGACAGTGCTACAGATGGACCATGCCCAATTACCTAAAAATTATGAAAAATGACAGAACAATTGTATGCATTAAATGCAAGGTTCAATCCATAGATTAGGGAACTCTTTGGTCCATCACATAAAAACAGTAATAACAGTAAAAAGCATAACCAGTAGTAATAGTATAACAATAAAAAACATTCTAGTGTAAATATAATATGAATGCCAGAATCAATACTGTCAATATAAGTTCCTTTGAAATCATATTGTGTATTCCTTATGTCACTGAAAACTATTGGTCTATAAAGACAAAAGAAGAGGAAGATATTTACTCAATTAATTGCACTTTGTTTTAATTGCATGTCTGCTCCCCTCAGGTGAGGTCCAGGCATGTTCTCCTGGGTGAATAGCTACTTGGTGGTATTTAGCCACCTGTTATTTTACATATAATGAACAATATGTGACTCACCAGTGAAGGCATCATTGAGAGGAGCCAACAAAGTGTACTCAGCATCTGCTCTCATGGCAGCAGAAAGGCCCAGCTCAGACACCATGTCACCAAAGGTTGACTGGGAAGTTCCCAACAGTTCCATTACCTGCTTAGCTTAAAGCAGACAAGAATTCCCAACACCATTAAAATATAAATTAGGCTACAGAAGAACACAATGTATTTCTGTAATGCTTAAATAGGAAAAGAGGAGACAGAAGTCTAACCTGAGTCTGGCATGAGTACGTCATCAATAAGGTGGATGACACCATTGGTGGTGACAATGTCCTTTGTGCGCACCATTTTGATGCCGTTAACCGTTAAACTCTCGCCATCACAACCAATTTCAATGTTGTTGCCCTCCAGGGTTTCATAAGAGCTGCCAGCCATGATGGCCTCAGAGCACTGGACTGAGTCCAGGAGGTGGAAATTCAGAAGAGCTGAAAGGAGACAAAGTTTTAAATTAATGCGTTGTGTAGTTGAATAGTAGTAGATTATAATTTGAATGCATGGTGGGTCAGTTAAAGCATTGGCAGCTTTATGTTCTTTCTCATGTTAAACTGCAGCTGAGGAAATAATGTCCAGGAAACCTGCAGACCCTTTGGATCCCTGGGGTCCTTGAGAGAAAAGACTTGGAAAGCTCTGTTTAACTTCGTGTGGAATGGTTCTGACCTCACATCATAAGGCAAGCTATGGGCAAATAAAAAATGTTGAGATATGTTGCCAATTAGATCAGCTTGCTCAATGGAGCAGCTGTTTCCTGCCTCTTAGTGTTCAAGCAAGAAAAACAAAAAAAGCTAGTTTAAAATGTTGAAACTTTGTTTTGTTGGATTTGTTTAAGAGCTCAGAGTCCCTGTATATTTCAAGGTTTTATATATATTATAAGGCTTCATATGTAATTCTTGACAAAGTTTGAGACAAAAACTCTCAACATACATGACAGTAAAATTTGAAGAAAAAATACAAAACCTTTCACACACAGTTAAATGTATGACTTGAAGCAAGAGACTTCTTTTTAAAACTGTACAGTACATCTTTGTCATTTAATGCTAAACGTGTGCAAGTCCTAGATTCATTGTGGCTTCATCTGTTTTGAATTTGAAGAACTTGAACATGTAAGAGAGAGAGGAAAAAAACCCTCTTTATGTAAGACTTGGCGTAGCAAACATGGTGCCAAATATAAATATGATCCTTCTACAGTTCATTTGAATTCTGCATTAAGGGCAAGCCCGAAAGTCCAGTTGGATCTACCTTTGAGAACCTCTTTGTCGCTCTGAATTCTCTCCAACACATCACTGCCGAGCTTGTCAAAGGCTTCGTTGGTTGGGGCAAAGAGAGTGTAATGTCCTGGCTGACCCAGTTTTTCCAACAGCTCAGCATTTGTAAACAGATCCTAGAAGATGATATCACCAGCACGATTATGTTTAGTGAGCTTCAATATACAATAAAGTACAGTAGAAACATTTGCAGTAAGTAGTCATAAAAACTGCTAATTAAAAGTAATTTAACAGACAAATATTGAGCAGTATATTGGCACATTGGTATACTGTGGTGCTTAGTAGTGTCCATGATCCATGCTAAAAGAAAACTAAAGAAACAAATTACTTTCTTCTTTGGTCTGATAATTGTCTTACATTGCCACAATAAACCCGATATCAAAACTGCAATGCAAACTGCAAACTGCCGCAAACCACAGCAGTGTATGCAATTAGTTCCCAGGCTATTATTCGTTCTACCCCTGTGTGTACTCACAGTCAGAGTCGACAAGTCATCATTGACTTCAATAGTATCTTGGATGGAGTTTCCAACAGCGCTGATGACACGGTCAATCACATGGACAACTCCATTGGTGGCAACTTGGTTTCCATGGATAATCCTGGCGCAGTTCACAGTCACCACCTACACATAACATACAATTCAACGCTACACAACTGACGAGTGCGTTTAGTAGCACAAGGGGACTCTTATGCCAAAACTGAATGGCAATACTCACCCCATTGGAGTAATGATTAATATGGAGACCAAGGTCATTGTACATGGAAGTGACTGTCATTCCATTCCTTAAATCTTTAGTCAAGAAGCGTTTGTTGGCCATGTGATAATGAAGAGCATTGTACAATTCAATGTTGACATTGCTGACCAGTGCATTCCTCACATCCTGTTAGATGAGAAAAATAACATGTTAAATCATCACAGCCTGAGAGGTTCCGAAGCTTTCTGCTTTTATGCCGACTCACTTCTTCCAAAAGCTCCCAGGCCTCGTTACTAGGAGCAAAGAAAGTGTAGGATCCTGATCCCTCAATCTCAGGTCTTAGCTTAGAAATGTCTGAGTATCTTTGGGTTGAAGTGGCCTTGACTAGACCCAAACTGCCATACACGTTGTCAATTGGTGCAACTGGGAAAGAAATAAAGATGATTAGATATCAGACAGTCTTCCTGAAAATAGAAACAAGAAATCTTTGAAACATTTGAGGCTTCAAAAGAAAGACAATCTGCTGGCAATATGCTATGGCATCCTCTTTTAGTTTATTTGGTCTGCTTTCAAACATAGCACACAGCTGTTCTACAGGTGGAGAATATGGCCTCATCTAACCTTTATACAATGACAACATTGTAGCACAGACTATACCTGCAGGGCAACCACGCATGCCGTCCAGCTTCATGTACCCAGGGCAGCACTCGTAAAGTACAGTCCTGCAGGAAAAGCATACACATGACACAAATGTTGGTATTGTGCATCCTTTGAAAAACAGTTTGCAATAATCTTTCAACAAGAAATTTGGATTCTTTTTTCTGGCTGCTGATTTGAGCTGAGTCATCATTCAATGATGGGTTGGTGTTTTCACTGTTTCCAGATGTTACTCATTATCTCCTGCATTACCCAAACAGACCATGTGATCCAACAGCTTAGGCCAAAACCTAATGGAAATGATGCCTTGAGGCTTATGCTACCATTACAGTAGTAAATTTATATAACAAAAACCTCCTCTCTGTAGCTAAACAATTAGTTTGGACTTTACTTGGCATTGGACTAACCACAAAAACATTATGATTTTGGCCTTGAAGAACTACTGTGTAATTAGAGATGAGTTTTAGGAAATTCTGGTTAACGCAACAAACAGGTTTTGATAGTCTGTATGGAAACAGTTGAGCGAAAAAAACAACATTGTCACAGGAGGTTTTACGGTTTTCAGAAAATAGTCTTTAGACAGAGATGTGTAGTTATGATTTATGTTTCCAGAAATTAGACACAAATGAAAAATATTTATTTGCTAATAAACAGAAATGTGAAGCACTGTCAAAGTGCCTGACACCATAGCCTGAGGAGAGTAGTAAAAATCTGAAGTTTGGCTGCAAGATGAAAGCTTGGCTTGCGTCAGCAGGTTTGATCATGTTGGAACTAAGCACTGTCTCCATCTCTGGGAAAACTAGACATTTGGAGATGTACAGTTCACTTCAAATGACTAGCAGGTATTCAACAATAAAAAAAAGACCCACAAGACATAAAGAACACCACAGATGTAGCTATTAGGGGTAAACAATACCATATGCGCTCAGAGTTGGCCGGGGAGTTCATTGGGGTAAAAACCCGATTTTTATGGTTTGAAAGCAAGAGGGGCTGCTTCTTTTCCCATTTTAAAGCTCAACATGATTAAACTAACCATGGCCAAAAGTAAGAATACTACCAAGTGCTTTCATTTTACACATGGATTACTTACAAATGTTACAGTGGAAAAAGTAGTATTATGCTTGGTTGCGAATACAATTGATCTAGATAACGTTAAAATCAGTTGAAGAAAAAAAAGGGTGCTAATGTGCCAAAGTTTAGTAGCTCCTCTTCATCAGCAGTTTCCCTGTGAAAGCTGCACAGCAGGAAAATGCCATGTGTGTGATTTGTAGTTCATACAGTACAGGCATTTGTGCACACAGATATAACCGAGATATGGGTGTTTTAGAATGCAGGCCAGAAACAAGATACAAATCTACCACAAACAAGAACAACTGTGTGAGATTAGTTAGAAGTTATTGGTCACTGATGACTAAAAATCAGTGAAACAGTAAAAACGCTGTCAAGAGACAAGACTTCACAAGCAGGGAGTTTTCTGTGGCACTTTGTTCTTTTATTCTCTGCTGATGTTCCAGACAGGGTACAGACTAATGCTTCGGGGTCATGGTTAAATGCACCTCTATAACAGCTGTATTTGAATCAAGGTTGAAAGGAGTTGTAGGGACTGGGATGAGATCACACAAGCCCCATTGGGGCTGAGTCAGCTTAACCCTCGTTACATTGCTTTCCCACACTGAGGGATTGTGTCTGGCCATGAAGCTGGAAACTTTTGACTTGTCAGCATACAAATGTACTGTTCCATTAACAATTGTGATAACTTTGTCATACTAATAGGTAGTCTGGAAGTTTGGTAGTACAAATTTCTCTTGGAGACAGAATTGGTCTGGAAGTCAAAATGTTCTCTCAGTGGGTAAAAACAAATACTTGGGCTGAGTTAGACTGAGCACCAACTGCCACAAACTGAAAATTTAATTTATTCCACACTGCCTTAGATCATCATGGTCAGCTAGTCAGCCTCAAGTATTTCATATGAGTAAGATGGTAGTAGGGGCCTTTTAGCTTAGGGACACTGGGTAAAATATCATTTTTGTTGGTATTTTCATTACCATTGTTGAAATTTTTGGTTTTCGTTTCCATTAAAATGTTTCAGTCCTGGTCAGTGGTAATCGGGGTGACACGGACTTGTCGATGTTAATGCACCTATGTGCTTTATGTAAATGCACTCTCCTACAAGCAACATGTATAACACAGCTGAAAGTTATGACAAACAATTACTACGAAAAACAGAAAATGCTTATTTCTTGGAGACTGCCGGGAAACATCTGAGGAGGATGTGGAAGAAAGGCTGATGGACGCAACAGCAGAAATGTAAGTTTGGTTGAAGAAGGCAATTTGACTTGTGTCATGAGACCTAATGTGTTCAGGAAAACTACAACACAAAGTTAAACTGGTCTTTAACATGTTTGTCCATCATCTCAACAAAAAACAATTCAATCCAGATTAAAACTCAATTCCATCTTAATTTAACCAGTTTATCTAAGTAAACTTCAGTGACTAACAGGAATATATCTGCACTTTTAGGAGACCTGGCTACACCATTAGGTAGGTTTAAATTAGTAAATACATTTACTGTGTGCATCCAACTTCAGCCCACCAATGTTTAGATTGTTTCCATAGTTACAAGTCAAACTCCAGTGAAATAGAAAAAAACTTTCTGGCTGGTTCCAGCATTATCATTTGCCAAGTTCACTAAGCAGTAATTATGAGCAGCATATTCATTAATAAGGCTATTTAGAGTGCATACTAAGCATGACTTGGTCAAGCACTGAGGGGAAACTCAGCGTGGGCGCTGCTTCAATGTCCACATGTGAGGGAAAAGAGTATGGGAGACTGCAAAATAGTCATAGCCTTGATCAGTGTTTAAAATAAAAAGTGCTGAGGGAGCTGGAACAATTGAGCTGATTGAGCTGAACACTTTTCCATTCATGAATACAGTCAACATTTTGCAGCCACATCATATCCTGGAATCAGTGGTTCACCGCTGTGGCATCCAGCAACGACCAGGCTTCTTAAGTTATGAAAACCCTAACTTACAGTTTATAGGACCAAATGGGGCTGTCTTCAATACAAAGAGTTTAGGGCTGCTTCCTCAAGTGTGTTTTTCATTTTAAGTGGAGTAATTCAAAGTTAGATAACAGATGTCTATCTCTCTATGGAAACATCCAAGTTTCCATGAAACCCCTTAAAGAAGAAAGAGCAGAAGAAGAGGGAGCAGACAGTGAAGAGACATGCATAACTGATACTCAGGGTAAACTTTTAATGTCCATAAATGGAGGAACAACTTGTCCCACTGGATACAAAAACAACACTTACGCTTTCTTTCCACAGATGGCCCCTTGGTACCAGTTGCGACAAGTGCTAAAGTACTTCTTCTTGGTCCCCATGACTTGCTGGAGTGCACAGACATTGGGTCTAATCATCATGAAAAGGGGGCAAAGCATTAATCAGCAGGGAAACGGGAGTAGGAATCTATGAAATAGTAAATAATTCACATGTAAATAATTATGTGAGAAACAGCCCTGCTGGGTAAGACATCAGACTGTCAGGAATGAATAATTATTTGGCAAGGACCCCTGCTGTCTCTGAAAGCAGACAGTCACATATGAATAATGATATCCATGCGTGCTGTACATAAAATGTCTTTTGAGTTATGGTTCAACAGCTATATCTTTGCAGGTTCATACAATTACTGACTTAAATTAGTATTATTTGGTAACATTTTAGATTAAATAAAGAACTGATATTCGTGCAACAACTGGGGACTGCAAAACAATATAGAAGACTGTGTCTAAATATAACAAAGATACAGGCATGCAGAAATGATAAGAACTACTGATGCTTGTCATGCTCAAGGTTTATGCATGCACAATAAAATAACATGAAATCAAAAGGATTTAAAAAAAAAAAAAAAAAAAGATTAAAATAATGAAAAATATTGATGAGCTTACCCTTCTTTCCTTGCCCTGATGCGACTGTGGGCGACTATTTTGTCATAAGCTGAGGAGTCAGCATTGTCAAATGTAGAGAGCAGAAAGAGAGCAAAGGTAGCTACAAAAAGGAGCTTCATCCTTGATTCCTTAGCTAGCCCTTCCAGACCCAGAGTAACGGGAGCACACGCAGAACAGGAGTTTATATACCACAAGTCTCACCCTCCACTCTAGGAGGATGGCAACGATTCTCACATGTATGGACCACCCAGAATCTCTCAGAAACCACTTTTCTATACACAAATATACGGAACTTTTTATTATTTATGTGATGAATTATGAACTATAAATCCTTTTATTTGGAATATTATTTTCTATATGGAATGCCATTAGTAGGGATTAGTAAGCAGGAAAAGTAGGACCACCACCACATTTGGTGTGTTGTAATCGATGCCATTCCTCATCTATGCAGGTTTATAGGTTCATATATTATTGATGCTTTTCCCACTAAATAACCTGTTATTTTGAAACATTCTAAAGTTGTTGTTTTCACTTGTTTTAAGAGTTTTCTGGGAATTTTAAAAGTCACTTTTTAAACTTGAGTCTAAAGAAACAGTTTTACCGTTAAATTCAACTGTATACAATTGCACTGCTTTAAAAATAAGCACAATTATCTGGATATACTAGTATACTTTTTTCAAATTCAAGCTTTTAAGGCTCAGCATGCATTCTGAGTGCACTACTGCAAAACAACTTGGTGTGTTTTTTGTTTTTTAAAACTTAAAAGCTGTGACATACTAATAGATATGTGAATCGAGCAGATGGGCTCCACTTTGCATAAATGCACTCTTGCCTATAAAAGTGTCATTTATTTGGACTGCAAACAAAGAAACATTGCATAATCTCTGCTCTGAACAAATGCCAGAGCACAAACTGTATAAATCTTTCAAAAGGCAGTTTGCTCCACCTAGTGGCTACCGGGAATGCAAGCAGTGAGGATCATACCACATGCACATGTAACGTGTAACAAATAAATATTGATGTAAATAATTGTTTGAAATATTAAAGATTCCCTACTAAGCCAAGAGCAAAAAAAACTTCATCTGAACACCCAAAGTTAACTCTGGAGTCTTGGAAGTTTAGGTGGCTCAGTTGTGAAACAGAAGCATGTATTTGCATACTTATTAAATCTGCCAGGGTGCCAAACAAATCATATTCATCACATTGTGAAGTGTTTTCTTAATAGAACCACACTAGTTTTCTGAAGCTACAAACACAACACTAAAGTCAAGTCAACCCTTAGGCACTGGAGCATGAGAAGTAACAGAACACAGATATTTGTGCTTTTATGTTAACAACAGTATCTTGGATACAACCTCACAGACACAACAAAACAGAAAACAATTGTCTGAGAAATGTGCTAGATATACACAATCTGGTATCCCAGACGTGTTACAAGGAAATGATAATGAGCTGTGATTTATAAACAGTGTGAGCACATGTGTTAAACATATGAAAGCAGGTACTTTATATTAGATCTCTCTGGGTATGAATAATGACCCATTGCATTGGCTGATGAAAGACTGCATCATTTTTGACATACATAAAGTATAAGATGTGTGGGTATAGTTAAGCTTCACTGGTGATGTTGTACGATGGATGTTCACCACATGTTGTTAAACCTCCTGGCTACAGCCAGATGTTCCAAATGAGATCAGGAAAGTAATGTCTTACTGGACATCTAAGTCAGCGGATGACAAAAAAAAAAAAAAGAGAGATATAGTCCAGAACTGTCGAATAGACTTTGGCACAGATCTAAGCCTGAAACACATTGGCCTCACTTGTACCTGTGTATTATATTTTTAATCAGTGATCACAAAATTTAAAAAAAAACAGCATATCTCATCCCTGAAAATAAGACGACACTCTCATCAAGGCTCTTATGACCTGGATTCTAGGTCTTTTGAAAACTATGTACACATAAAATCCTCTAAAATCCCTAAACACTGGAATACGTTAACTTTGCAATCCTATTATACCATGAAACAGACAATTTTTAAACTAAAGACCATGCTTGCACAGAAAAATGACTGGCATGGATGAACTGGCAGTGATAATAAATGCAGCGTAGCTTTTGCACTTAGAATTAGAACACTGTCTCAATCAAAATCACTTTCACACATACACTGACACAAAGACACAAACACCACATGTGCCACAAAGAACATATCAATTCTGAGCCCAAGTGTGGTCTCCGCTCTCTGTGCATTGCCAGTAAGCCTTTTTTTTTTTAAGTTGAAATGAAAGGGATGAAACTCAACTGCTACACTGCATGAGCTTTTCAAACGTAGTACAAAGACCAAAACAATGTTGATTGGCTTTCTAAAGATAGTGTGGCTGCTATGGTAACAGAAACTGACTTCAGTTTCATCCAGCACCCTTGATTATTTGCAAGCTTCAACCTATGAAGGTATAAAGTTTTATATCTGTGCAAATATAAAATATGAGTTTCAATAGATGAAACTCATACCTTCCTGCAAAAAACTGTGCTTATAGCAGGAATATTTGCATATTCCCCCACAGATTGATAAGTTGTCTGCTTTACGTAACATGCACAATCCGTATACAGCGATGCCACTGTCAACATGCTGTAACTTCATATACTCCACAACACAAGGCTCTTTTGCTCACACATCAATAGAGGGCGCCTGGTGCCTGGTTGGTAGGTGACACTGGATTAACTCTGACACTAGCTCATTTTTCCTCCAACTACATAACCACAGGCATATTCTTAAGAAAGGGGAGAATCAACATAATCAAGAGTTAAACAACAACAAGGGTAAAAATGTGCTAACTTAGTTGCTAGTTTTGCTGTGAATTTCAATAATCATCAACATAAAACCTTTTAGATTTAGATGAGCGCAACAGTGCAACTCTTCAGTTTTTAGTACAGCAGCTTGTTTTTTTAAGAGACATTATCATCACTCAGGCGTGCAACTTTATCAAGAAACAGATGTGTCTGGGTCCTCCAGAACCTCAGTTCCCTCAGTCTGAATTTGCAATGTGCACAAAACTTTCAATGGCTATTATGGCACCTCTGGTTACAACAGTCTTCATCATCTCACTGGTAACATCCCCACCGTTGTGGTCTAAGTATAAAAGAACAAATGTCATTTTTTCAAGTCATCTTGTTTAAAAATGAGAGTAACACAAAGCAAGGTGTATCGGAAATTACCTTGGAGATTAATAAAGTTTTATCTCATCTTATCCTAATCCAGTGTCTGATTTATCCATCAAGAGCTCTTAGAGGAAATCCTCCTTTTCACGAAGAAGTACCCACAGATTAAAGACTGATGACCCCTTGCTAATGTGATCGCCTATGAGGCATCATCATAATTAAACTAAATCTTAAATAAGAAACTTACATCCGAGCAACTTACTCACAGCAGGACAGTGATATTGACAAACCTATTATTTACAGATTCTTTTTTTATTTGCCAGCTGTTCTCCATGATTGTGCCTGCATCATGTTGCTTTTAAGCTATACTACACCATCCTTGATTTCAGGATTATAGTTTGTTCTTCTTGTGAGAGAAATGCAGCTCTTTACCAGTCAGTGTTTGTGATTGGTCATCTGATGCCAACACTGCTCCTAGTATGTAAACATGCTCATAACCTGGTTTGGAAATCCTGGGTTGATAACCAGTTATGTGTGACCGCTTCACCTAATTACACCTATTAAGTTTAATGAAAACAGAAAACAGACGATAATAATCAGATGATCTTCTACCAACTATACACCACACCACATCATACCAGAATGCCTTATATAAAAAAGAATGTGGTTTGTCCTACATTTTTATAGTATAAGGCCAGGGGGTTGATCGATTTTGTCTGTAAAAAGTCTTTAAATAAATTAACAATAAAATGAATTAAACCACCAGGTATTACAATATTTAAAATCCCAGATTGGCAGGGTAGCATCAAACATATCTGAGGCAATTAACGTTTTACTGCAGAGCTCGAGGTTTTTGCTATAAAAAAAAAAAAAAAAAAAAAAGTTTTGGGGCCCCTCTGCTAACAACTTTGACAGTGAACCAAAAATAAAAACTAAGATGAAAGAAAGGACAGGGGGAAATTATCGGGCACGCAGGCCTACCTTCAGTTCCCGCAGACATTAAAACTCCATTCCGGTTCTAAATTGGCATTTTCCTTATAAGGAAAGCAGAAGGTACCGGCGTTATCCGTATCCACCAATCACAGCAGCGCGTCCCTCCCACTACGTCCCTCAGGTATCACCTGCAGCAGAGGTCAAGAGTGAAATGTCCCTCCTTGACCACCATAGTGGACTTTCGCAAAAGGGCGCAGTTCGTTCCTTCTATTTCCGTGTTTTCAAATTGTTTGGCCTATTGTAAGTTGCACCGACCGTCTTTGTGGTGCTTCTCTCAGGGAAAGTTGTGGTAAGTGTGTTCTGCCCTCTGTTTTGCTTTACTCTCTTGATCCATACTAGATATTATACGACACACAATATTCTGTACCTCTGTGCTGCGTGTTTGCTGGGTATTGCGCAATAACCAGCCACAAGAGGTAAAACAAGCAAGAAAGTTTTGTTTATAGCATTTTATCATACCCAGAGGTTATTCATGGTGCTTTACAGGCAAATGTAATAAGAAAGAAAGAAAAAAAAACAAACTTAAAGTTAAATCAGTAAAATAAATTAATCAAAAACAATACAGACAAGTTAGAGAAAGTTTGTGCTGATTTAAAAAAATAAAAATAAAAAATTAAATTGATTGAATAAAACAGCAAAAAAACAAAAGACAAGCAATGAGAAAAATAAAATCATTTAAGAAATAAAGTAAATAATAAAACATAACAGAATATATGATGTATTTACAGCCCACTGTTGCATTTAATCTGCTCTTTGTTGCTTTTCTGCATTGTTGCTTAGAAGCTTAGTCCCAGGAAATATGTTCACGCTTTACTATCTATTCACCGTCAGTCATATTCACTTTTATAGTCCTTACTGCTGTAAACCAATTGAATAGAATACATTCAATGTGTTTTGTTGTTGTTGTTGTTTTTTAAAAATACATATATTGTTTAATTTCATCGTGTAATGGACTGATAGATAATGTAATCGTGGCGATTCTGTGTCTTTCCCCATCCTTTTCATGTGTCATTATAACTTATTTGTGAACTTTATAGCTGGTTTCAGTGCAAGCCAGAGGATCAGTGCAACCTAAAATGAAGAACAAACCACATTTGGGCCTTGCCACTGCTGTCACAATATCCCTCTGTCCTATTTCACTCTGTGCGCTTTCACAGATGGTTGGGGAACATTGATAGACACAGCCAAAAGAATTCTCAGCAATGAGAGATCCAAGGCTAATTTCTCTTTGTCTCGGCAGAGAAGACAGCAGATCTTTGGGATCTTTGGTGAACACGTGTCCCATGTGCCGCATGATTTATCGCAATAAATAAAACTCTGATTGAAACTTGCTTTTTGTGAATTTACTTTATTACAGAAATTGCCAAAACACTGAGACTTCATCATTCAGTGTGAGTTTCTTGCTTAGCCCCCTTGATCTCTTTATGCCCCCTTTGTCCCAACAGAAGATTTGAAGCCAGCTGGACCTTGTCTTCCCTGAAACTTTTCTTCCACATATATTACCATCCTCCATCCCCTTATTTATGCAGTCAAACACACTCACAACGACACCATCTCTGATATATAGTACCTCCTCTCTTCTTCCAGTTCTCCCCTTGACTCAATCGCCACATTGATAATATTCATAACATGATGAAACTATTCACAGCCCGTCTGACATTTGATTGTATGGTCTGTTATAGCTGACTAATGTATGTAAACTTGCCACTGCATTGACAGAACTTACATAAACTTCAAACTGTGTGACAACCATGCGGGTATACGCTTGCCTGAGTACCTGGTGCACTCTGATAGATGACACCTCTGTCATCATCATCTTTATTGTTATTGCACACAACAGTACAACAAAATGGAGTCTTCTAGAATATCCCAGCTTGGGAAGCTTGGGTCAGAGCACATGGTCAGCCATGATGAGGCGCTCCTGGAACAGATAGGGTTGAAAGTTCTTGCTAAAGGGCCCATGAGTAACAGCGTGGCGGTTCTGGGCCTTGAAATCCTGACCTGCTGATCAGTAGCCTGTACCTAAGATGTTGTTATAGTTATCTTTCTGGTCTCATCTACGTTTCCTTTACCTCAGGCTTTATTTATATGATTGATTTGAATTGACATTGCACTTCCTCTTTCCCCTCTAATGATATCTAAATCATGTCTATCATCATATTCTCTACTGTCTTTACATATTTTGTACTGCGCAACTTAGAGATTTGACATTTTCCTAAAAAAGAAGAAGAAGAAAAAGAAAGACAAACTGACATTATTCATACTTTTCATAAAATGTTTGGGAATAGTCTTGGACACATGGGCCGACCAGATGTAGGATTTATTTTAAGGTAATGCCAACAGCAGTTAGTTTAAACCCAACTTAACCTGTAGGATATAAATGAGGTGCCAAACTAGCTTTTGCAAATAAGGGTGCAATAGAGCCTTCAGTAATGCCTGTCCCGTGACAGGTCAAACTGTCCAAGAGAAAAGGAAACATGTTGATGTAAACTGCATCTAGTTCACTATGTCAGAGGGACAGCTGTGTACACAGTGAGAGACAAGGTAAACTGTTTACCGGATCCTTTTCTCTAGTAAGCACGAGAGATTTCTGAAGAGAAAGGACAGTTCAAGCAATACTTGTTTGTTCATTTTGTTTTCCTACTTTACGACTTGTGACTTAATGTCAATTTTTAGTGTCAATATGCATCATTTTGAAATTATAGAAATGAGGAAATAAGTGATACTTGCAAATTAGGGGGGGAAGGAGTCCAAAAAACCGCTAGAAACACTTTTAAATTACTTTCCACTTTTATTTAATTACAGAGTAAAATCACAAGCTGCTAAACTGCACAGTACTAATATATTTCTAGAAGGCCCTGGTACTTGCAGCAGCTGATATAAAAGCACATGGTTAAGAAGTAAATCCTGTAACAAAACCTATCTGGATTGTGTTGCCTCTTCTGCTCCAGTAATAAAATCAAGAGTAAAACTATCCCTCTTATCCCAAACATGCTAGGGAGTAAAAGAGAAGCTGTCTGTGATCTCTGAATTAGCGAGGTACTACATTGCTCATTAATCAACTAAATAATGAGCCCAAATTAAATATTAAAATGTAGGATATAACAATTACAGTTGTATTAATCAGTGTTGCCAGTTTAGATTTGCATAATTAACTTTAGTAAAAATTAATTGGGTACATTCAGCCTATTAGGACGGATATTTCTTCCATAAACACACAAGTGAAAGTATTTCTGCAAATTACAGAAAAAAACAGATGTTTGTAGATTTGAATGTGGGCAGCAGGGTGTCAGAACTCTGAAAGTAACTGCTAAAGGTAAAACATGAATTACAAACCTGTTCCACAATTTCCTGAGTCAGCACTGAGGCACATTTTTGTTAAATATTTTTATAGTGTTATGCATGTAATATAATGTACAATAACACAACATTATTGTCATTATACAAGTGACAGGATGCAAGATTATTTAACTGGATAAGCTACTTAACTACAGTACTGCTTATCATGAGTGACCTTATTACAACAAACCATACTGACTGGTAATAGAATAAACGAACATTTAAAAATTAAAACCCAAATGTTGCTACAACACAATTTACATTTTTCACATGCCGACAGATTAATTTTTGTATTTCTTGGGTCCATTTTTCACTTTCTTAGCATGTTCTTTGAAAGAATGTTCAATCTCCTGAATATCCTCCACTTTCTGTGAGACTTCCACAATCGCTTTCTCATTCTGAAGTTCTTGGTTCTGTCCACCTGATCCCAAAATACCTTCCTCTGACAACGAATGTGTTTCATCATGCTTCTGAGAGGGGAGTTTACTCTGAAGGGATTCAGCGTTTGAAACTTTGGATGCCTCGTTCTGAGTCATTCCTGTACTGGACAAAACCACTGAACCGTTGGCCAGCCTAATAGAGCAAGCAGAGCTGGTAAAGTTGGCAGCTCCACACTGCAGGGTGGTGCTGGTAATAACATCAAACATGTTCAGATTTTGTTGAGACTCATCAGAAGGTAATCTGGGAGAATATTTGAATGGGTTTCCAGGGTAAGCCAAGGTAGAGCTTGCAATGTTACTGGCTACACCACCATGAGGTTTATTCTTCATCATTCCCAGAACTTCATAGCGGAAGCTGGAGATATCCTGCTTAAGCTCCTATTGATTATTAAGAACCAGGGATTAAACAGCAGCACAGATTACACGGCAAAAAAAAGATAAATTAAGGTCCAAGTGTTGAATAATTGCACTCTACCTTGAAATTTTCTTCTGTCAACCCTTCTTCTGTCTTGGCATCTCTGATCATTGCAGCCACATACCGCTTCACGAGGTTCCTCAAAACCTCCTAAAAAAGTTATTTTATCAAGTAAATGTTTTAATTTAGTTTGAATGGAGTTTTATCAAAGTCAGAAGCAAAACAAAACATGACTGCATTTAATAGACAGCAAAATAATACCTGGTACTCATGGTTTAGTCTCACATTTTCAGCTGCACGCCTCTACAGTTAAAGGAAGAAAAGCAAAACGTGTTGCTATTGTTGGCTTCTGAAGATGTAGTCCTCTCATTTATTCCTAATTCAGGTTCTTAAAAAAAAAAATGAAATGCTACTTACCCCCAAGGTTCCGAAGGTTTCAAGTCTTTTGATGCTTGGTCTTCTAAACAAGTGTTTTTTAATCCATCCAAATAGATAATAAATTGTCTTTGGACTGGGTATTATGTTGAATGGAGATGGTAAAGTTCCTCCTTCTTCAAAATAGCTCATCCATAATTTTGTTCTTGCAAATTTCCACTCTATATCTGCATGATCCTAAAAGGGAAAAACAATTAATCAAAACCTTTTGCAAAGGAATACCAGACAAATTAGTGCGGCCTAACGAATAAACAAAAAGGATAATCTACAACACTCACAGCAATGTGCTGGTAGGAGTTGTTCATCATTGCAATTAGCATGTTTAGAAGCACTACCAGGGAGATGATATTATAAGTGCCAAACATGGTGCTGCCCACAAACTCCGTGAATTCATGCTTTTCCTTCACATTGGTCACGTAGAGGGAAATCAGGCCAAATATAGACCAAAATAATGACTGCAGTGTTTCGAACAGCCTGGAAAGCAAAACAACCATACATCATATTATGCCCCGCTGAAAAACAAACCTATTAATTATTACCTATACAGATTTTTCTGGAACAATTAAATTAGGAACTTGAACTTGCGTTGAGAAAGCGTTGTTTTGCTTATTACAACGAATACCCGTGCAACCGTCATCCCCATTTGTGGCATAGTTGGAGTAGAGCTGGTTGAGACCATTGGCAAAGGCTAACAGCACCAGACAGTAGATGAAGAGGAATTTGAGGATGTCCAGAAGCATGCGGCCCAGTGAAATCTGCAAAGGACCCAGATGGGAGTTGGCAGTGAAAAGGCAGATGAGGCGCAGGGAGCTGAAGATGTTGGCGATGGCAAACAATGCTTCTGCCACCAAAGTTGGGTGCCACATTCCCCAGTTGCTCCTGGGTTTACACCCAGGGTACTGTTGAAAATAAGAACAATAAATACATAAAGTACCATTACACATAGAATTTGCAAAGTTTCAGGTTTTCCTGCACCCTACTTTATACTGTGATATGCTGTGATTGTTGATATATGAATATCTTTCAATCCATGGCTGTCAGATGCCATCATACACATTACCTTCGCAAATGCAACAATCTTCAGAGCAATGGTTGCAAGATACAAGGAGTTCATGATGAAATCCATTAAGTTCCACCAGTCATCTATGTAGTCCTTGAAACCACTATCCCACATCTGCTTGATCTCAGTCCATATAAAGCCTTGGAGAGATGAACAAATAACAGATGTTTTTTTTGTCAATGTAGCATTGACATTGACCAGCAGTACTGGCACACAATAGTGCATGCTAACAAGAGAATTAACAGCAGTCTGTTAGTTTTGTGTGTGTGTGTGTGTCTGTGTGTGCTGTTACCAAGCACCCAAGGCAAGATCATCCATTCTACAGTGGTGGGTGCTGGACCCTGACTTTCTCGATTTGCAGAAGCAATATGCTGCGAGGCCAAGAACAGCAGGAAGAGGAAGGTCAAGTAGGAAGCAGTGTGACAGATGAACTTGATGAAGGGTTTCCGGATGAATAGGCCACAGCGACTCTTTGGAGAGATCAAGTAGAGGATGCACAACAGTGGAAAGAGGAGGCCTACGAAGATGCAAGTGATGAGCTTTCCTGCCCAGTGACGCCTCCTCCAGCTCGGGAATTCATCATACCACCGAGACGCTAGCAGCTGCTGGCAATTTGGCTGAGCAACAAACTAAAGAAAGAGAGAGACAAGGAAAGAAGACATGCGTTAACTGAAATGAAACTCTTCTTTATGGACCTCTTTGTCTTCGGAATCCATTCAGGAAATGACAAATCAACAAAAAGCAATTAACCTTTGACCAGCTTTTGCAAACAGTATGCAAAAACTAGATTACACAAAAAAACTAAAGAAACAGTTAGGACTGTAAAGGTTTTATTTATGATGTCAGTGTCATGGTGCACAATGCACTGCATCGTATCACCCCACTGCCTAGTGTTTGCATTCTAAATTTTAACTGTGTCTGAACATACCTTCCTGCACTTTAAGGGCAACAATTAGAGATGTCTAAAATATCAAACATCCAATTACAAATAAAGACACTACATAACTCATGAGATACAAAACTAAAAACAGAAACATGTCTTGTATGTGCACGCAAGACAAAAGTTTAAGGAGGACAGAAATTTCGTAAGTGCTTTCTAATCCTTTGTTAAGGAGCGACTGTCAAATCTGTTTCCCATACACATTTACAATGCCCTCTGAGATTCGATATAAACATCTGCTGGACAGCTGCAGACGGCGATGAAAGGTAATTTCAGCTTAACCAAGTTATGACTAAATGGATCTCCATTATGGCACTATATAGCATTAAGTTGTGCAGGATCTGACATGTTTTAATGTTTCCTAACTGTCCTTGTGAGATTCTGACTTGCCATAACATGACTAGAGGCAAAAGGTGGCATCTGGAAGGAACAGATTTTGTCAGAGGACATTTTTGGAAGGTGAAAACAACCCTATCCACATGTCTCACCACAATCTCCTTGTGTTAATTCTGTCCTAAGGCACATGCGTAGTGACAACATACTGTATAGAGGAAATTAATTAAGGTAATTAGTAGCCTTGAATCATTTTACTTGAATATGATCTGAAGTTTTGACAAAAATACCCCTATATTGCCATTTTAAATAGCATTAGAGACAGTAATAAAGCAGTTTCTATTCCTTACATGTACGTCATGCTACACTGCAGCAGTATAAACGAACAGTAAAGCAAATGAGCTTTCCGGTCTGTCAGTGTGATTCTTGATTGAGAATGAGAATGATGGGACATTAAGATTCAACTGTGAGCTACAACTTTTTTCACAATGCTATTTAATAATGATTTACATAATATTAAAATTGTATACAGTAAATAAAAAAATTAAGACAAGTTCTTATTCAATCAAAAAAAAAAAAAGAGTGTACTGTACGGTTTCACTATTGTTTCACCATTAGTGGTCCAACAGCATATTTGCATACAAAGATTTTTTTTTAAGACTGTCAGGTCAGAGCAGAGGAAATGTTTCCACAAACACTGTGTACATCCAGGAACTGTTGGTGGTCTTTGTAGTCACATGAAACTCTGTATTTGTCAGTCCTCAAGAACAGTATGTATGTAGGATGTGTTACTTGTGGTTAGCAGAACTAAACAGCTGAACAATGGCACTGAATACTCACAACATGATGCACTGGCAGCAGTATTGGCAAACAAACAATGGACAACTTAATATACATTTTCCTGCTTTGTAGTGCTTCCAGCATTACCGAACATGTTTTGGATGCAAAACACTGAAGCTCACTTGTCAGCTCTCGAAGACATCTGATTGTCTTCAACAATAACTTAATAATAAGTTAAGCTAACTTAAGAACAAACAGACAAACTTCTTTGAGCGCAAGTCCAAATTACAAATCATTCAAGACAGGTTCAAGCCAAATCTAAAGTCTGTCGCAACAAAAGTCACCTAATCATCACAACTACCAATACACTGACAATATTTTCCATTTCAGCTTTCCAGACAGATTTTTGTCTTTGAGCTGAGAACAAACTGTTCCCATGTTTTCTGATAATACACTTGTAAAGGGTTGTACATTTTTCTTGCTACAGAAAGGAACAACAGACATTCCTACTTTTTCCTGATAGATACTTCTCCATCAAACACAGGTTTTGCATAACCTGTTCTCACAAGAGTTAGACTATGTTTAAAAAATGCTTTAAGTGGCCCTGGCCCACAGAACAACAAAAGAGCATGGACTTTAGATATTATGTCCTTGTGTACAAGGTGTAATCACAACGACAAAAAGTATTAGTTTAGTCAGATTTTACTGACAGATCTACTGTATCCAAGTGATGGTAATGTGTATCGTATGTAATTAACACACTATTCTCATAATTCATCAATTCATTCATTGCTGTGAGATAAATCTGTTGAGTGAGACATGGACTTTCAAAACAAGTCCAAATGAGGAAAAAAACATTAAAAAAATAAATACATAAATAAAATAAAATAAAATTTTGGTGTTATCAAGTTATTTTTTCTTGATTCGTCTTCATTCCAGCTCATATAAGCCAAATAATTTCATACATAAGATTAGTAAATGAAGTTCAACTGTAAAACCTTTTCCATAGAGACCAAATGCAGCAGAAATGTGGAGTTGTCGACAGTCACACTGATCTTTCATTTTCACTTTCAACTGTGTGATAAAAATATAACAGAAAACCCAGAACACTGCTTGCAGACTCTAAAATGCTCAGTGTTTGGACTAGATTTAAATGTACACTGTTGGCATGAGTCATTAACTCTACAAATAGTACTCTTGCTGTTGTATACAACTGCTGTATACAAACAAGATCCAAAAGCTCTGAGTAGTCTATTTAATGAATGGAACAAATAAAAGACGCCCGCTAAGTGTACACACTGTGTGCTCTGCTTTGCAGTCTGATATGCAGAAAACAACAAAACAAACAAATCTTGAATTTCTAACTCAGTTTTTCTGATGTGTTAAATTGAGATCAAATGTAGCAATTTTCATCAGCTTTCATTGTTATCGCCTCAGCAATCCAACCACATCCACAAATATTATTCATGATAAGCCGATTTGTTGTTTGATTAACACGAAACATGTATGCCATATCTCATTCTGTTACTGCCTTTGTGTAATCACAAAGCATAATTTGTAGTAATATAGCTCTGTGTCGAAAATATAGTTGGCATTGCATCTAATGGAGAAATATTCCAAAGATGTTAAAAACCAGTAAAAGGTTTCCACCCTAATTAAAATATTATGAGTTTGCATTTCAGGAAATGGCCATTACTTCTTCCATCATTAGCCCCAATTATCCAATCATCCTGGGACTGTCTAAGAGTAAGTGCTACTGTAATGCATTGCTAAGAGCCAGCCTGGCAATTTCATGTTGTTCTAAACTCCCAAAGGATATCTCCACCCATCTCAGGCAATTTACAGCCCATCTTGGCACTTTTCTTGTCATCCAGTGCCTGTTGTTCAACTACTGTAGTTCCTATTTTGAACCTGTTGAACTTGTTCCACAGGTGTCAGTGTGTCTGGTCTGCTCTCAGTATGTCTGTATGTGTACCGATATTACCAAACCAGATGTCTGTACTTTCCTTTCTTGTGCTATTTATCTATCTTGAAGACATTAAGAAAAAAAAAGGCAGTTGTCATGTTACAAAAATGATGTAATCAACAAATATCTTACCTCTTTCTGGCAGTATTTGATAGCCAGCTTCAGTCGGGCCAGATCATTCATGCTCTCATCCAGCAGTGGGTTGACGTCATCACGGTAGTTGAGGATTATTTCCAGTTCCTTAGAACTTCGGGTCTGATCCAAGAGGTCCTTGGCAAACTGTTTACACGTATGGGACAACTCTTCATATTCTGACTTGAACTCATTCTCCACTGTGCTGAGCTCCTTCAGCTCCCAGCTAAGCTGAAAAGCAGTAAGGAAAGGATCCTCGCTGGAGAGGGCGATGAGCGATGGGCTGGCAAGGGCCTTGTAGATGTTCAGACGAGAGCGCGAGTGACGTAGGCCGTCCACGTCGGAGCTGGCCACACACTCCACGCAGTTGCAACGCACTGCATGTGGCTGAGGTATAGAAACACCTCGCTGCAGGAGCAGTTTGATGATTTCATAGTTGTTAGTGTGAGCTGCAAGGATGATTGGAGTAATGTCTGGGGTGAAGTCTGAAAACTGTTTGTCCAGTAATATTGGTGGAACCTTTTCGGAAATTCAAAAAAGAAAATAATAGACATGAAACACAATGCGTTTAGAGAACACAATTACTTCATCAGGTAGCTCTCAAAACAACATTACTTTTTAAACCCCCTCACAAGAACTGTTTAAATGGGTCCAATTTCACCTGTCTTTGGTCCCTGAGCATCTTGTCTAACAGCAAGCACACAACTAATGGCCTGTGGTTCAGCTGGCCTCAAAGCACCTTCATGGTTGGAAGCAACAATACTCTTTTATCGTTTTCCTTCTCTTCACAAAATGCCACAAGTTCCTTACAGGGAGACAAGCAGCGTTGGAAAAAAATAATTCACAAAGATGTCGAGAAGCTGAACACAACTGGGGCCCGTATCAAAGTGCCTGATACACAAGCTGTGGAAAATTATTTTTTGTTGAAAAAGCTGTGGCAGGAAGACACACAGCAGTATCAGCTCTGTAACTTTTGACTAGAAAATAGTTTGATTTCCAAAGTAAACACAGTCAAGCTTGTAAAAAGGGAAGAAAGCGCATCATTATGTTGTGCCTTTGTTCCTATCTGATCTAGACTAAAGAATGAAATAATACAACATATTACTGCTAAAGTCAACTTCAGTCTGACATAAATGGCTTGTGTTGTTTTTAATAGCATTACATCTACTGTCTAGCTTGCACTAGTGTTAATTAAAGCCAGATTCCCAGAAACCTCCATTCTAAACTATTTTTGCTCTTCTTGGTTGTAGAGTACTACACAGTTGACCAGTGTATCCCAGAGATGTTTTTTTAGTGTCACATGAACAAATACGATCAGCCAGGTGTGGACTTAGCTTTAAAACACTGCTGGAAGTTTATTACAGAAACAAACTTACCTGTTTTATATTTTGTGTGTTCAGTGTGAAATATTTGGAAGATGAAAGGAAACCAATATTGACTGATATAAATGATGAATCTGCCAAAATGTTTACAATGTTTGTCATAGAAGTTTATGAAGGCACTGCATTCTGTGCTTGTTCCTATAGTGAGTCCTTTTAGTCTTGACATAAGTGCATTTCACACAGACATCACGAGGAGAAGTAATTCAAACAAAACAGCCATTAAAAGAAAACCACCAAATAAGCCTGGTTGGAATTAATATTAGTACCAGAGGGACACATTTCTGCCTAAATGTAACCATGTTCAGTACTCACATTACCTCAACAAAAACCTCTGTAAATTCTCTATATAATGCACAATACCATAATCACGTAATTACATGCAGCATAATTGTGTGGCCAATCCTGTTGTGCAGAAGAGGCTCAGAAAAGGTTTTCTGAATGCCAAGTTGAACACACTAACAAAAAAAAGATGTATAAAAACAAATGTGACTGGGTTGAAAGATCAGCATGCATATGGGGTGTTACCATGGACTATGGATAGTACCTGCTTCTCCCCACGTGGCTTCTTGTGGTTCAGCAGCAGCTCCACAGCCCCCACTACTTCTTTGCGGATGGCGTGCAGCAGGGCATCACCCACATGTGCGTTGTAGCTGAGCAGCAGCTCAATGATCTCCAGGTTCTCGTTCTCGATGGCGATCAGCAGGGCTGTGCGTCCCAGAGGGTCAATGCAGTTGATGTTGATCCTGAAGTAGATCTCAGCCTCGTCCAGGGCTTGCTTCACGCTGGCGTAGTCCCCCTTCTCGACAGCCCCCAGGTAGGCCCTCTCCATGGCGGACAGCTCAGATTCCGCCCGCACAATCCGCAGAGGGATGCGGTCCCTGTACGAGGAGTTGTCTGCTTTCTTGTAATACAGCTGTGACATTGCTGCTGCTGTATCTCAGTCTCAACTGAGAATGGCTGAAAATGAAAGGGCAAGAAAAAATAAGGGCTCATGTTTCAGTCACAGCTTTGATGTTCCAGACATAGAGGAGCGTTACTGCACTTTAACACACCCATTCAAACAGTGTACTGTAAATGGCATTTATATTTATGTCAGTTTATATAGGATAAGCAACATTTGACCAAGAATAGATGTATTTATGCACAAAACATTTTAAAATAAACGTTAGTATCAGTGAAAACACATAAGCTTCCTGTAAATATCTACAACTAAAGCTGACACATGATTAAAAGATCAAACTGCACTGAAATCCATCCCAACGCTTCACAGCACATGAATAAAAAAACACATCAGCAACATTTAAACGAGCTTAATCATCATTTTGATCACATCATTTAATTAGTGCACTAAAGAAACAGAAACTTTACCGTTCTCCTGTTGCTTTCCAGCAGTGATTTGCATGAATCAGTCGACGGGCTGCGACTGCCAGGAAGAGAAGTTGGCTGCTCAGATCCTCTATCTTATCACTGGAGTCTCCAGCAAAAGACGCTGGAAGTTAATGGCGTGCCATGTCCCCTGCCCACCCCTTTCGCTCAAATTACCGACCTGGAATGTTGTTGTTTTGTTTTTTTCTTCTGCAGTTTATTCTAAACGCGTCGAATCAGGGGGTTAAAAAAAAAACAAAAAAACAACAACAACAACAAAAAAACAACTGACATCCGCTCGCAGAAACTGAACAGACCTTCATCACCGCTGCTTGAGCCGCGCGTTGACCGTCAGGCTTCAGTCTGTGTAACAGGTGCTGGTCAGGGGTTAGCAGTCACCGAGAACCACGTGGCTTCTGGTCAATAACACATAAATAGGTGCTTTTACAGCTGTTGATTTGTTTCCATATTCTACAGACTAATTAAAGCATTGTGAGCATATTAAAATCTTTTTCTCAAACTGTCATTACATCATAACCTCTTAGACTGGATAAAATGTGACATAATATAAACTTATAACAGCCGAATTTCCACATCATGAGGAATATTTGCATCCACTAACCCAACATTTTTATTTTGTCACATCAATATTTGTTTTGACATTTCCACAAGTTTTTCTAATTTAAATAGGTCAAGCCCAACTACTTTAAATAAAGATCACACTGAGTAAATTGTAGCTTTTAATTGTGCAAACAGATAATTTTTCTATGTGAAAGAGGCAAACATGCAGCCAAGCTAAACCAGATGATCAATTATCGTTGGATAAACAGAATACTAGAAATATAATGTATAGATCATATGAAATCAGAAGATCACCGCTCAGATTTTAAGAAAACCCTCGTGAAAATCTGTTCAATTGAGGAATGTGACAAAGAGTTCAAAGTGTTGGTTTCAAAATTCCCCAGAGCTCAGTGCGATCGGCCATGTGTGGGATGAACAGCATAAACAAATGCAATCCCAAAGCTCAACAACAGGACTTAAAGCTAATGTCTTGGTATCTGATTCCACAGAGCACCTTCAGGTTTTACTTGGAGTCCAACAGTTCAGAGGTTTTATGGTTTCACAAGGAGAACCTACAAAGTATTAGGCAGGTGGATTAATGCTGTGACTGAGCTGTATATATGAAAGTCTGACCTGCAGCCGTCCTTAACTGTTACTTACATCACAGCCATCAGTCACTGCTACACATAGTGGTTAGCTCATGCATAAAGATGAGTGAGGCGAGCTATGATATCACACGCCTATGTAATTGGCTTGCTTTGGAGCATGTGGCCTTTCACGCCACGCTCCAGAACCACACTTCACCAGCTTATTTTATTGTAGTTAATTTCAGTTTCACTATTAGCACTAATAAGTGTAATTTTCACCATTGATTTGAGCTCCTGCAACTTGCAAAAGTATCACAAAAATTGCTCTGTGTTTAGTTAATAAAGTATTACTCACTACACGTTCCTGCTGTTCTACTGCTCATCATCAAGCTCTCCAGAAGCCTGATGACGATCCTGATCATTTGAATCAGGTGTGTTGGAAGAGGGAAACATCTAAAACTTGCAGGATTGCGGCCCTCGAGGACCAGGATTCGACACCCCTGGTCTATGTGCTAGTGCAGTTGACAAAAGCAACAGATTGGATTGTATACAGAGTTGCTTTGAGCTTTAAGCATCCCTGCAACAAGATGTCAGTGCAATATTATCTCCATTAATTCTTTCACATTAAGATACAGCACATACATCAGTAGGGAGAATCAATCAAAATAAAAGTGTTATAAATTGCAGTAATACAGAGGGCTTCAGAAAATATAAAGTGACAGATTTGTACTTAGTATGTACTCATGTCACAAGAGGATACAACTCCTAGATAAGCACACAATGAGGGGAGTTTATACAACATTGAAACTATATCGGGATGTTTGTCAGAAAGCACAAGAGATCCAAACACACAAAGAGGCCCTTTTGACTGTCGTTAGAACAAATTGCATGATTCAGACGAACCATTTGTAGAAAATTTGCCCTTTAGTGAGAGATTTGTACCATGAAGAGCACTGAGTTAATTCCCACCCTCACTTTCTTTCCACTCTGCAGCCTTAAGGGTTTCCCAGAAACCTCATGTCCCCGGTCTCTACTGTTCACTTCCCAACCTTTCTGAATATTCTGCTTTTGTATTGAAAGATTTTGGTTATTTGATAAATGTAAAATAAAATACAAGTGTGTTAGTTAGCAAACTACTGATGAAAAACACTGCCAGCCAGAGAGCCAATGCTGTGACATCACTTTATCCCCAATGTATTTTCCCATTTAGCTGTTAAGGGGTAATTACTGTTATGTGAAGCAATAGGGAGAGCAGTCATGTGATGTCAAATGTTTAACACCACTCTTTAGTTGGTTTATGTGAAAAGGGAAGTCACTGAGAACATTCTTTCCAAACCATCTCTTTTTTTTTCACACCCACAGGCAAGAAGAACAAAACACACTGTATATTAATGTTTTCCCCCTTGAGATGCAGCTAATGTTTAAGTCTGTGTAACAGGATGTTTGCCACTGAAGTGATCTCATTAAAATATCAGTTTTCTATGGCTAACAGAAGCGCTTGTTAAAGCATTTTTCTTGTAGGTTTGATACATATACTAGCATCCAGCCATAGACATTATTATGGTTTTGAGAGGCATAATCAGATAGAAAATATAGACTCAACAATATAAGGCAATGTCAAAATCTTTAATTTAAATGCATATTTTGGGACATTTGTGCCTTTATTGGATAGATAGCGGAGACAGAGGGGAAATATGGGAGGAGAGAGCTGGGGAATTATATAAAGCAAGAGTAAATTTTAGTAATTTTTCAGAGACATATCTGAGTTGCAGACATATTTTGGCATTTCAAAGTGCTGCACTGAAGGCAACAGCTCAGTTTAATTCAGTGTAAGAGGACTCTGTTGTGAGATAATGGGTTTAACCAAGTGTGTCCTATGACTCATGAGTTCACATTCAGTATTTCCTCATTTTCTTCAGAGTTGTTGTAATTAGCGCATGAGAAATGTGTGTGCTTTTGTGTGATTTTAGCAGATACTGTATGTTTGTGAGAGGACAGTGTACGACGAGATAAATTCCCTCCTTCAGAATCAAACAGAATCTCTCACTTGCAGAACTCGCGGTCGTTATTTTCACCAACACTGCAGCTGTTATGACATCGGACTCGCCAGACATCTGCAATGCAATCTGCTGTTTGGTGGATTTACCGCTACAATTATACCAGCACCATATTGTCATGAACATACACACTTTTAAGGCGGATTTTAAAATTTATTTTGTCTCTTCTGTGAGCCCTCTTCAAACATTAAAAGCTTATCATGGTTTCTCACAGCTGGACCAAATGGCTGCAAAACAAAATCACTTAAAAACACAACTCACTCATTCCATTTTATGGACTGGTAAACCTGCCACAACCTGGCTTGAGGAAGGACAAAAGAAGGAAATCAGATGAGCGTTCTAGCTTTAAAAAATGTGCAAAACTTGTGAAAAAGCAATGATGCTGTCAGAAAGAAACTGAAGCAAACCAATGCTGATGAATGAAATGTGGCTGGAAAGGTTTTCAAGTGAATACAGACATTGAGAAAGATTAGAATCTGCAGAAAGCAGTTCAGCAAATTAAAATTTATAGAGAAACAGACATTGATAATATATAATGCACCCTGTTTTGATGCTCTTTCCACTGTGGATCAGTTTTTTGGGAATACTTTAATTATGTTTTTATGTCAATTAATGCCGGTTGTGGACAGTTACATGGATGTTCAGGATTTAGTTTTGAGGTTTGTCTTTTTACAGAATATTTATTTCATTTAACTGCTTCAATTCTTAGATTTATTTGATAATCTGGCTGTATTCAAGGTTAACTAAAGGTTTTAAGCTATGAATAAACTTAACTGAAATGGAATTTTCAACATTGTGGGTTTTTCATGTTTTGTTTTTTTACTATTATTTTAAAAGAGTGTAAAACATTAAACTAAGAACTTTTCATTTTCCATCACACCACATAGTGTTAAAAGAAAATTAACATTTGTATGGTAATTCGATATGATTCGGTTAGGAATTCTAATAGTATTGCTTACTGAAGATCAAAATAAGTAAGCTTAATGAGTGACAGTTTAAAAGATCTGTTCCAAAGCTGTGGCTTTCCTTTTCCCCCTTTAGCAGTTGTAATTGTTTCAGTGAATCACTGAACTCTCATGCCACTAGAGGGCAGAGAGAGATTTCCTTCTATGAGTCTCTTTTAATGCACAGATTTTAAGGCCACTGAACTACTAGTAGTCTCTTTTTTTTAGCATATAAAGTTGTCTGTCTCAACATTTGGGACTTTGGGGGAAGAAAAACTCCACTAACTCTTTCCCCTGTTACAGAAAAACATTCCCTCCTACAAACCTCCTACAAAGGTTTATGTTTAGTGAGTGGTAAAAAAAAAAAAAAAAAAACTGGGCCAAATAAAAAAAACAAAAACAAAAAACAAACAAAAACCACCTAATTTAACACCATTTATCAGAGCCATGAGTGGTAAAAAAAAAAAAAAAAAAAAAATCTGGGCCAAATGTTTGTTAATGATGTTTGCTTTTGCCAAAAATTCCTCTGACCCAGTTCCGGGTATGTTGATTACTGCTTTCACTTTTCTTAAGTATGCAATGGCTCTCACTTTCTTGTGCCAGCATTTGGGATTTATGCCTTTTATCTGCATTTAATAAATAATGAAAACTGAAGCGCACTTAGAGCTAAAGTATGTGAGGTAAAGTTCTGATCAGGTTTCTGGTTTACCAGCTGTTAGCAGACATTTATAGAACAATGAGTATATATCAAGTGTTGAATATTGATGTTATGCAAGCTATCACATGTTTTACACTATGTTTTAACACATAAATTTGTTTTTTGTCAATTTAGATGAATGTATTTATATTAGAAAGCCAAAAAATTGTTTTCACATGTTACAGTGTGCCAAATAGGCTCACACCATAGTGATTAAACTGTGCATGACAGTAAACCTGAATTTTAAATCAGG